CAGGAATGAGTTTGGGAGAATTGCTTCCCTTTCTATTTCTTTAAAGAGTTTGAAAAGAATTGGTATTAAATCTTCTCTAAATTTCTTGTAGAATTCAGCTGTGAATCCATCAGGACCTAGGCCTGTCTTTTGTTGATAAATTTTTCATTACATTTTCAATTTCACTGGCTGATACTGGGTTATCTGAGATTTTTATATCTTCTTGATTCAGCTTTGGTAATTCATATGTATCTAGGAATCTGTCCATTTCTTCTGTGTTTCCTATTCAATGAGAGTAAAAATTTCCAAAGTAGGTATTGACAAGCTTCTGAATTTCTATAGAATCTGTAGTGATATCACCCCTTTCATTCCTTATTGCATGGATTTGAGTTTTTTCTTTACTTTTCCTGGTAAGGTTGGCTAGGGTTTTATCAATTTTATTTATTTTTCAAAGAACCAACTCTTTCATTCATTAATTCTTTGTATTATTTTTTTAGTTTCAATTGAGTTCATTTCTCCTCTGGTCTGTACAGTTTCCTCCCTTCTTTGAGCTTTGGGCTTAACTTGCTGTTCTTTTTCTAGAAGTTTGAGGTGTAACATAAGGTTGTTTATTTGTGTTCCTTCTGTTTTTCTGATGTGGGAATCCACTGCTATAAATTTCCCTCTGAGGACTGCTTTCATTGCATCCCACAGGTTCTGGTAGCTTGTATCTGCATTTTTGTTTGATTGTAAATAGTGTTTAATTTCTACTTTAATTTCTTCTGTGACCCATTGGTTGTTCGGGATGGTGTTATTTAATTTCCATGTGTTTATGGAGCTTTTGTGATTTCTTTTATCATTTATTTCCAGTTTCATTGCTGTATGGTCCGATAATATGTGTAGGATAGTTTCAATTCCTTTGCATTTACTTAAGCATGTTCTATGTACTAGCATGTGGTCCGTTTTAGAGAATGTCTCATGCACTACTGAGAATAATATGTATTCTGCTGTTGTTGGGTAGAATACTCTGTAAAGGGCTACTAAGTTCTTTAGTTCACACATTTGGTTTAGTTGAAAACATCACTAGTGCTAATTGTGCACTTTTTCCTGAATGTTGTAGACCATTAACAGTTTCTTTTCAGAGCATGTAACATTTGTTGAATGTCTTTTGTGTATGAGACACCTTACAAGGCAGTTGCACCTTGGCATTATTTTCAGTGAAGGAAAATAAATTATGAGAAGGCTGTAGGGTTTCCTTTTTTTTAGCTTATTTTTATTTCATGTTTAAGTTATTATTTGTTCTGTGCACCAATTTACAGCTAACTGTAAGAATTATAGGTTGATTTCTTAATGCTAGCCATTCTTACTGGGGTAAGGTGGAATCTCAATGTTGTTTTTGTTTTGTTTTGTTTTGTTTTGGTTTTGGGTTTTCTCCGGTACCGGGAACTGAACTCACAACCTTGCGCTTGCCAGGCAGGCGCTTTTGCCACTGAGCTAAATCCCCAGCCCTTCAATGTTGTTTTAATTTGCATTTCTCAAATGACTAATGATGTTGAACATTTTCTCATGTATTTATTTGCCATTCGTATTTCATTATCTGAGAAGTGTGTATTCATCTCAGCTGCCCATTTTTGGATTGGGTCTTTGAATTTTAGGGGGCTGATATTTTTTAATTCTTTATATGTTCTGGATAGAAGCCCTTTGTCTGAGGGACAGTCAGCTAAAATTTTTTCCAAGTTTGTGGGTTTTCTTTTTATTCTGCTGGTGATTTCTTTAGATGTGCAGAAACTTTTCGGTAGGATGAGATCCCAGTTGTTGATTCTTTGAAGTGTTTCACATACAGTTTGGTTTTTGTTCATGCATGTTAGGATGCAGTTTGGGCACTCATCTCTAAAAAGGTTCGCCATCACTGCTATAAGTGCTTAAGAAGCTATTTTTATTTTAACTCATATTGCTTTAAACTTTCTCCAGTCACATTCTCTGCTTATCTATTACAGATTTTACTATTTTTTTAACATTGTTTCTACTTAGGAAACTATACAAACCAACTCCTTTGGACCACTTCAGAGTAAGTGTAGGCCTCTTAAGAAGAGATAGGAATATTCATCAACAAAGAATTATTCAAAACAAGGAAATGTATTGCACCAGTGCCATCTTTACAGAAACTGTAGGGTAAAGTAAGCATTATTGTTTTGTCAACCAAACATGAGCGGCAGAAAAACTAAAAAATAAAGAATTAATTCAAAAATAATAATGATTGCAACCTGGGATTGCATGCTGTGGTCGACCATAGGCACATAGAAGGGACTGTGACAAGGGTAAGCTTTTAAAGCAAGCAAGAGAAGTCCATGTAGGCTGTTTTTGAAACAAAGACCATGGCTACAGGACTTAGCAAAGTCAGTGGTGCTTGTTCTTTGGTAGTACTGGCTGTTGCTCAGGGAGTCTTCATAGCAGTGGCTTAACTGAAAAGTTCTTTTTGGGAAAGTTCTTTATGGGAGTTCCCTTTACGGGCAAACAGGCAAGAAGGTCCTTCTTTGGTACCCTTCAGCTGCACTTTGTTGCAGTGTGACATGACTCGAGTTTTCACAGCCTCTGTTCTATAAATGGGAAGATAAAGTGTCAGAAGAAGTAATCAGCTTGCTTAAGCTCACACGTTTAATAACATAGTATTATTGTTCCTGTCCCTCCAAATAAATTTCTGTCTATATCAGGCTGTTCTATATAGTGGGTTATACTGACCTTCTAAGCTATTTTAAACTGCCGCAAAATAATAGTAATGCAAAGTGACTCTGCTACTGATAGTCACACCCATTATGTCTCTTGACTTGTACAACAGTGTCCTTTCAGAGCACAACCTTATATTTGTAGAATATGTATCCTGAAGCTAGTATTCAGAATTTCAAATCCTGCTCCAACAGAAATCACTGTATATATCTGAGCAAATGACTTTATCTCTCCAAGTATCAACTGTCACATGTATAAAATATGAATAACAGTTGTACCTTTATAATAAGATTGTCATAGCAATTAATTTAAATTAAATAATATAGATAAACAGCAGAGGACATGGCTTCAAGTCTTCAGTAATTCGTTGTCATTTTAGTAGAAATAGTAGTAATAACTGCTTAATATAACATCTCTTCCTTTCTGTACTTTGATTTCCTTCAGAGCAAGGCCTTTTTTTTGTTTATCTCTACATCTTTTCTTACCTTAGAGCTTGTCATGAAATAAGTACTCAGCTAATAATTATTGGATTGAATGAAAGAGGCAATTTTTTAAAACCAGAAAGTTGTTTTCCAAAAGAGTAAGCTTAAGCTCACAGAGGTTGCCCACAGGTTTTAAACAGCTGCTGTACATCTGTCACATCACTTATATCATTTTAGGCAACTTTGTGAAATGCTCAAATGGGGCCGTGGGATTCAAACCCATTTCTTACAGCACTGAGCCCAGAACCCTATCCACAAAACCCTTTTGCTTCTCTTATAGCATATAAGAATTCTTCCTTAGCCAGGTATTAATATATATGACCACTATAGTATTTTTGGAAAATAATTATTTTTGAATTATGTGATGAATTAGATTTTATTTACTTGCTAGCTCTCAAAGAATACTGTACATGAAAACAGTATACCATTCTATCCTAGTTTCTGGATATATAGCGAAAAAAAGGACAACAGGTAAGTGAGTGTGAATATGGAAAAAATGAACAAATAAGTGTCTGAATAGATACAGAAAGGGTAGGATAAGCGAGTGCTTTACAAATGAAAGCAGATGTAAGAAATTAGAAGCTGTCAGATCAGCAACAGAAATGAAGATGATAAAGTGGTTCTTCCCATAGATCATAATTACTCGTTTTGCCCAGGCCCGTCTCTCTTCTCCATATTGCTCAGGGAACAAGGGGAGAAAACCTAAGAGTCAAAGGTATTTCTCATTACAAATAATTGTTTATATTTTGACTTGCATTGGTTTTTTTTATCAATCCCCCTCATGGAACATTTTTCAAGTAATTAATAAAAAAGATTCCATTATTACTACAGGAAGTTGTAACTGAAAGTTCCTTCAAAATCAATGTTGTGAGCCGTCAGGAAGGCTCACAAAACAGGTAGCACTAAAGGGCCCAACTGTGACAGCAGTGATAGATAGATTGCCAAGAAATAAAGTAGTTTACACAGACCTGCCTAAAAGATGTGCTTAAGAACTTCATTCATACTGGGTTGATCTGAAACAAAATTAAGTGACACAAGTCTGTGGAACACAGGCCTATCTATAAAGATTTTGACTTTTTCCTCAAGCATTTCTGTATAGCTATCCTTTTTGTAAATTCCTTCTTATCTTTAGAAAGACAGATAATTGGAAGAAATTATGTTTTCTTTGATTCTACATTATTAATATTTATATAAGATAATAGTTACAAGGGGCTGGGGATTTAGCTCAGCGGCAAAGCGCCTGCCTGGCAAGTGCAAGGTCGTGAGTTCAGTTCCCGGTGCCGGAAAAAAAAAAAAACAAAAAAAAAAAACCAAGATAATAGTTACAGATCATTAAGGATAATCAAGGTAAATATTCTTTCTTGAGAATTAACTGATTCTTTCCCATTCATAAGGATTTTGTTAATTTCTAAGCAGAAAAACTGAAGATATTTAGACATAGCCATATAAATGGCAATAAATGTGCTTGCTTCTGACATTATATTTACATCACAAAAAACTACACACATTTTTTTGGAATTGGGAATTGAACTCAGGACCTTGCACTTTCCAGGCAGCCTCTGTGCCACGGAGTTGTATCCCCAGCCCCCACACATAATTTTATCTGAAGCTCTTCCTTCCAACATCCCCTGAGAATAAGTATTAGCGTATTAGATTGTAGTTAACTATGCAGTATGCTGCTTCAAAAGCCATTTGGTAAGGATCCTTTCTTTTTATTTTATCAAAGCAGTTGCCTTATTAGTTTATTTTCTTTGACTGAAAGTTATTTTCGTATTTTCAGTAATACTAAATATCTTAAACAGCATTGTATCTGAGTCATTTTCCCCTCTCATTTAGTGATCTCTAGTAACTACCAGACCTGTCTTGGCCTTCTGATGCATTACCCAGTCATCGGGGATATACACTCACTGATTCTTAAGGCTCTGTTCCTTAGAGACCCAAAGGTAAGCTCTTTCAATAACATATACACAATATTAAGTTGAGTAAGAATTCCTGATGTGGAATTTGCCTAATGACAGAATTTGTCTAAGTTATAGACCCCGAATCAGAATCCTCATTGGCCAGCAATCAGGAAGCAAATTAAGTGAACACTGTCATGAGAAACTGGAACACACATCTCTTGTCCTTCAAAAGGTTGTTCCGCACTCCTGTCTTCATAATCAAGGAGAGTTAAGCAACTACGTGTTCTTATAGGCAAACTTTATCATCATTGTACCTCTCACTGGGAATGACTTTTATTCAAATATAACCTCAGAGACCATATGAATATCAAAACAGCAGATCCCCCAAGTAAGAGTTTATGATACAATGAAACATGGAATTATTTCATATTATGAATATGTATTTCTTATTTTTCAGATTGAATAACATATTAAAATAAAGATTTAAAGGCTTTTAACTGACTTTTTCTGTTTGAGCTTAACAAAATTCATTAAAATTTTCTTTACACTTAGAGAAAAAGTGTGCTCTTTTACAACTAATGTTATATTTCTTGAAAATAAGAACATTTAATGATCTAAAAAAATCTGTGAATTCTTGCTACTTTTGAGCCAAACAAAAATATTGGATGGAGTATAAGAGAGAACGCTTCAAATATGAATATTGTAGTGCCAGGCACTGGATGGTAATCCCTGCCTTTGGGTTTTTGGCAACCTCCCAACATTCATACTGGCAGTTGTCAAACTGTCTGTGAGTCAGTCAGTCTGTCTGTGGGTTCTATTGCCAAAGCTCTTGTCTAATCAACTTCAGTCTCCAAGTTTAATACAAATTTTGATTCTGAAGGATTTCTGCCCTTTCCTAAGTTACTGACTTCTTCCCTTGAATATATTCTTTATTTATTCTTTGACCGAGTTAAAGAATTGTCCTTGTGCCTATATCTATTTTCTGTAGAAACACGAACTTTTACATCATTTCTGTAACACAAAGTAATTTCATTAAACATCAGAAGTATACTTTGATATTGAAAGAAGCATTTTTTTCTGGAATAAAAGGAGTATGACTGAAAGTCTAAAGTTCCATGTTTATATTCTTATATTCATATGTATATGTAAGTTGTGGGAATATTTTTTGCCAAAAAAAATAAGATTCCTCTTTACAAGAGGCATAAAGATGATGTTGCTGGTCCATGAGGTATGCTTTTGGATCTACAAACTTAAGACAAACTCTGCATAGAGTGGAAAAAAATGCAAAACAGCAATTTGAATTCCTTACTTGTGTCATTTGTGTGATTTAATGGAGGAAGAAGTAATATATTATAAAAATCTATTGATCTTATTAATTTTTCCCCAGCTAAATATGTTGATCTTCCTGTGAATCACTCACTTAATTTCACAGTTCTTCATACTAAGTCCATCCATATTAGTAGAATCTAATTGCGCTCTCATGTTCATGTTGTTTTCATAAAGTAATTTTTAATGTCAATAGTATCCATGATAGAATTTAATGAACCAAATTCTACTAGTATTAAAGGTACATTGTTTAAGGCTTAAGAGAAAAAATGGTAGCATTATTATCTAAAAAGGATAATTCATGGCCTCTATATTCAGTGTCTTACCATGTAAAAACATGCTCAAGCTATTGGTTCAAATATGGGACCTTACACTGATAATTTGGAGACTAAGAAACTGGGAAAGATGAAGGAGGTATGCTCACAAGGCTCATGACAGCGAGTGCATGAAACAATAATATCAGTAGGAAAGCTGTGCAACCTTAGGAGCTTTCAAATGGCTAACCCAGTAAAGCAGGAGTTACACTTACGTGTATGTAATAGCTGACTCATTGACATTATTTCATAATTCCAAGTGATAACTAATGCCACTTATCATAGGTTTAATGTAGATTCATGGCAATATAGTGTTTCCCAGGGAATCAACAGAGTTAAGAATTAGGAATATAAGTCAAGCCTTGCCTCAACCACCAGCCATCTTCATTATTTTGGGAAAATTATGTTTGCTGAGCCTTGATCTCCTTTTTTGTAATATTATGAAATTACCTCTGATCCACCCAGCCAGAGCATTCTTTATCTATAAAGGACTAGCTTTGTTTTTTTTTTTCTTTTAATTAACTTTATTGGTACATTTTAGATATACATAATGATCACATTCATCATAGGAAATGCATATATGCTTATATCTTCTGATTTCTTTTTCCCCCAGTTCCCTCCCCTCAACCCAACTTTCCCTCCTTATTTAAAAAAGCTTTGTCAGGCATAGTGGTGCATGCCCTGTAATGCCAGCACTTGAGAGGCTAAGGCAGGGAGTGCTTTGAGCATGAGGCCAGCCTGGGCTACGAAGTGAGTTCAGGGCTAGCCTGAATTGCATAGTGAGACTCCATCACAAAAAGCCAAAACTAAAAGGTTGTTTCCATTTTTTTCTTCTATTTTCTTTTTCTTTTTTCTCTCCCTCCCTATCCCCCTCCCTGCTCACTTATTCCCCTTCCCATTTGAACATTTTTCTTCCTATGTCACAACATCTATTATACATTTTGGGCCTTATTTACCCTTTAGGTTTATCACACCAGGGAAACAATGCAATGTTTAAACATATCTATCCAATTTATTTCACTTAGGATTATGGTCTCAAGGTGCATCCATTTACCCAGAAATCTCTCACATTTATCCTCTTTATGGCAGAGTAGTACTCCATTGTATAAAAGAACCACATCTTCTTATCCATTCATCCACTGATGGGCATTTGAGTTATTTCTGAGAGTTAGCTATTAGGAATTGTGCTGCTATATCTATCTATCTGTCTATTTATCTGTATATATATTATATATACAGATATATTTATCTGTGTGTATATGTGTGTATATATATATATCACTCTGGTATGTGCTTTTAATTCTTTTGGGAAAATGCCAAAAAGGGGAATAGATGGGTCAAATGGAACCTCTAGTTTTATTTTTTTTGAGGAATCTTCACACTGATTTCCACAGTGGTTACACCAGTCTACCCTCCTACCAACACTACAGAAGGATTCCTTTTTCCCCACAACCTGCAAGCATTTGTTACTGGTTGATTTCTTGATACTAGCCATTCTTTCTTTAGTGAGATTGAACCTCAGTATTGTTTTAATTTGCATCATTTGAATGACCAGTGATGTTGAACATATTTGCATGTATTTATTTGCCATTTTTTACATATTCTTCTGAGAAGTATATATTCATTTCAGATGCCCATTTTTGGATTGGATTTTTAAATTTGGGGGTGTTTTTTTTATATATTCTAGATATTGGTCCTTTATCTGAGGAATAGCTGGCAAAAATTTTTTCCCATTCTGTAGGTTGTCTCTTCACTCTGTTGGTGATTTGTTTGGCTGTGCAAAAACTGTTTCATAGGGGCTGGGGATTTAGCTCAGTGGCACAGTGCCAGCCTGGCAAGCGCAAGGTCATAAGTTCAATTCCCGGTACCAGAAGAAAAATGAAAAAAAAAATATGTTTCATAAGATGATATCTCAGTTGCTGATTCTTTATAATATTTCGTGAGGGTTTTTTTAATAAAGTCTTTGTCCACAACAATGTCTTCAAGAGTTCTGCCTATTCTATCTTCTACACTTATTTAGAAAGTTTTATACAGTAAGTATCCGCTGAGTGGAGCAATTTTACTGTCAAGGGAGACAATTTAAAAGGGGTAAGAGGAAAAAGTAGAGCTATAGAAGAAGAGAAAGAGATTAAAAGCAAGTCTGAAGGACAAAGAGAAATATTGCAAGGTTTGGGAAACTGGTGAAAAAGACCAGTTGGAGGAAAGGAAAGAAGAAAGACACAGAAACAACAGAGCAAAACAATAGCAGCAAAAACTAGAAACCATGTTCACACTCATAAATACAAGAACAAACAACTAAGGGGGGAAAAAAGCAGAAAAGGAAGAAAAAGAAAAGAAAAAATTTTTCCACTTCAGGATGTGTCTGTGCCATCACTGGTAGAACAGGTGAGCAGAAAGAGCCCAGATCCATGTTGGTTGCCTCAGGAGGTATGCAGTAGAATTTTGGCAGGGTGGTGAATAATCCTAGCAAGCCTGTGCTAATCAAGTCCACCAAAGCTTGTGCTGATCCTGATTTTTGGCTGTGAGGCCACTTTGTTCAGTGCACAACTCGCTGGATGCCTCTTGCAGGCTTGTACTCAGCTCCCTGATCCTGGGTGTCTTCCATAACTGTGCCTCACCCTGACATTGGGAACTGCTAGATAGAGCCAACTTATGACTGCTGAGTCCCCAGTTCACCTGGCCCCTTTTTAAAATGGTGAATTGGTCAGTAATCCTGCCCTGAGGGTGTCTGAACTGGAATCACTCATCAGCCATTGCAGCACACAATGTTCATTGCTCCCTTCCACTGATGCACTTCTCCCTGGAAGCCTCTTGAGTCACCCATAGTCACCATGCCTTAGTAGGTTCGAGCTGCCTCTGTCACACTGTGGGCTGGGATTCAGGGAGAAAGCATCATTTGCTACCCCTGTCTTCTGCATTGATATCTCTTACTTTGCTGTTTCTGTGGATTCCAATTCTCACTTCAGATCCTTTCTGGGTCCTGGGGACCCATTTCTCTATTCCTTATTTTCCCCATGTTGCTGTATTCCAACATGTGGACTCCAAATCTTGGAGAGACTGATTTGTTTCTCCTTAACACTCCACCATCTTCCTGAAGTACTGACTTCTAATGAACTAACATTCTCCAGTAAAGTGCTACAAAGAACTAATGAAAAAATAATCTACCTGTATTACAGAAATCCACAAGTATTCGGAGTTTTCAGTGTAATTAATATCTACTTCAATGTGTATTGTATTGTCTTTGTAGGCAGAAAGGAGACCTTTTATGTTGAGGCAAGAAAAAAAAAGAAAGAATCCATGGTAGTACCCCAACTCATGTCTTCTGAAAATCCAGACATCAGAATGCTTTAAATGTCTTCTATTTGATGACAACAGTGAAACACTTAAAGTATTTGAGTCATT